ATTTTTGTTCTACAAATATTTTTTTGTTACATTTTCGTAGTAAAAAATTAAGTAACTATAATAATTACCGTAAAACAGGGTTATTTCGCTCAGTGCGGGTAAAGTCGCTCACCCATTTTTTTGCTTTAAATTTGATTAAAAACTAAAATTTAGTATTTCTATTAACAAATTTAACATTTTTACCTGCTAATAAATGTATTAAACTTTATTTTAAAGCTGAAATAAAGCATAAAAGTGGGTGAGCGAATTTACCCGCAATGAGCGAAATAACCCCGTTTTACGGTACGTTATTTAGTTAATTAATTTATTTACAGAGAAAATTTGACAAAAAATTATTTTCTCATCGTGATATTTTTTTTGAGCTACCAATAAATTTTTTACAAATAAAATTTAAAAAAAATTATTTTCTCATGGTGAAATTTTTTCTGTGCTACGAGTAATTTTTTTTGTTAATTATATTCTCATCGTGATATTTTTTTAGGTCACAAATAATTGTCTTGAAAAAATTTTTTTTACTACGAAATTTTAACAAAAAAATTATTTTTTAATGGTAATATTTTTTTTGGCCAACAAATTTTGTTTTTGTCAAATTTTCGTTAAAAATAATTAATTAACGAATTATTAAGTATGACATTATGTTATTAATAATTATTTATGACATTAATTATTTATTAAGTTAATTATTTGTCATATTTAAAATAAAATAAAATATCTAATAAAATCAAATTTTTCAAATGTTTCCGCGCTGCGCTGATGTCTCAGCTCTGGACTTAAGTTCGCTCAACGCCACAGGGAGGGCGAACATCATAACTGTTTCTCGCAGTTGAGGTGCCTTTAGATTGGTATATAAGCAGTGATCGAAAATTTTTTTTTTGTCGAAATTTTTTTCTGCCCGATGTCTCTCCTTTATTGGATTTGAGACAAATTCTTTTTTGGAAGAAATGGTTTCACTAATATTTTGATGACCATTTTTTTATTTTAATTTAAATATTAAAAATAAAATAATAATAATAACTATAAAAAAATAATAAAAATAAATTTTTTTTTAAATTATTGATTTTTTAAATTATTATTAAAATTTTTAATATTGGATATTGGACTTACTAAATTACTAAATAAATAATATTAAAATAATTTTTGCAACATCGTAAACGACGTAGTAAACGACGTAGTAAACGACATCGTAAACGACGTAGTAAACGACGTAGTAAACGACATCGTAAACGACGTAGTAAACGACGTAGTTTGCTATCCCAAATTCCGCTTTCATTTACGACGTCGTTTACTACTTCGTTTACTACGTCGTTTACTACGTCGTTTACTACGTCGCAAACTACTTAGAATACGACGTCGTAAACGAGGTCGGAATTTTCAACAGGGATATGTACATTCTGCACTGTTCATAAAAGTTAGTTAACATCCAAAACATTTTTCATTTATAGGTACGTACGTTCGACTTGGGGTGAACGATGTAAATGTTTTAGATTGTTTTTATGGTTACTCAGTGTACGAAGATGTTTAATATAACATTTAAAATTTTTTTCGGCAGATATTTCGGTTTATAAAAATGAATTTTATTTAAAGGTTGTTTTTAGGGGTTGTGAAACGAGAAAATTATTTTAGCAACAGGTTAAAGTACACTATTTTTTCTATTCTGATAATCATTTTTTTATCCTTTAGAATTCCAATACTTTAGTATTTTGACGTTGTCGCACCTCTGTACAAAAAGTCACACACTGCTCTAAGGGTTGAAGCTTATGAGTAGGCTGAGGGCTCATTTGAAAGGACACGAATTAGTCTTAAATTTCTGATAATAGGAAAGTTTTTATCACGTCAGGATTTTGCCTCACAATTTTTCAAAAAGTGACAAAAACGTTGTTTTTAGGGGTTTCAACCTCATTATTCTTAAAAACTTGACGTGATGGAGCATTTTGGACACCGGATTCGTGTTGAGCGCAAAATTTCCCTTCAGAAACATCTAATCTCTTTCATTATGCCGAATCAATGCAGGCCTGTGTTAGTTATTAATTTCAAATAAAATAAAATTAAATAATCATTATTAAATTTAATAAAAATTATTAATTTTTTTAATTAACTTTTCGAAAAATAATATATTTTTTTAATGACAATTTTTTATACATTTTTGCATAGTTCTGAACAATAATAATTAATCAATCATAAGATTGGTTTTTGAAAAATTTCAATTTTTTCAAACAATAAAATTTATAATAATAAGAAAAATGATAAAGTAGTCAAAAATTACCTTTATTAATGGGTAGAATATAGTTTCCATTTCTGAAAAAATGTTTAAAAAATTGTCACCCCTAAAAAAGGTCAATTTTGATTCGTTTAACCTTCGCCGGACTGGAGATTTTTTTATATACCCGGTTGACGAGAACCCACCCATGGTTGTTTTTTCAAATGTTTTCTTCTTTGTATATTGCAATAAAAACTTGGAATCATCCAGTTTGTTTCTCAAATTGTTATGTTACCAAATAATATATTTTATTAATGTTTTGTTGATTATTTATTTGTTTGAACAATTGAGGGTATGGATGCTATAAGGGGACGCGCATAGTTTACGTTGTCCCCTTGCGCAGCCGCTGACTCGCTACACGCGGGGACTTTTACTTTCACTTATATCCCCTTATAGCATCCACACCCTCAATTTATTATTAATAATTTATAACATTTTCAAATACACACAGACAGTAGCAAAATTTTATAAATTTGTTACCTTTTCTTTGAAGTTATTAATTTAAAGGTAATAAAATAAAAATAAAATATAATAAAATATATAATTAAATTTGCAACAACTATGATTATAAATTGTTTAAACAAATAAATGTTGTTATTTATTAACATTTTTCATAATATTCCTAGAAAGTTGCAATTTTTTCTAATTTTGCAACTCAACTAGCATAATAGAATAGCAAAATTTGAAAAAAGAACTGCATCTTCCTAGGTGCAATACAAAAAAGTTAGTAAATAACAATACATTATTTAAACAAATAAAAAAATGCAATATATTTTTATATGGGGCATTCTATGGGAAATTTTCATTGAAAATTTTTTTTTTGTCCGAAACATTTTTTTTTGAAATCTATATGAAAAATAAGGAAATACGTATTTTTATATATTTTTATTTGATGAAAATGAATGATTTTTTGAAATTTAACGTCAACGAAGAAAGTGTGTTTTTGGAACATTTTTTAATCTATTGTACTAAGAAATTTTCAATGAAAATTTCCCATAGAATGCCCCATATCCATTATTTGACAATATAAATCACTTACAGTGAAAAGTTTGGATGATTTCAAATCTTTTTCTAAAATAGAATTAAAAAAATATTTGAATCATCCCGGTTATCTCTGTACATACATTGATAAAAGTTATAAATAATCTAGAAGAAATTTTTTAAAAAAATTTGTTTTTCCATTTTTTTAAAGTTCTTAAGATTTTGTTCAGTGACTTAAAATCGTGATTCAATTTAGGCAAAACTTTAGAAGATATGACAATGTCAATTCGGTCTGACCCACCCTGGGTGGGTATCCAGTCCGGCAAAGGTTATATTTCACTGGTGATTATTGTAAAATTTTCCATTACCTTTATTATATTGCATTGTTAAATTTTATACATTTTTTCCATTATCCTTAAAAATCATTGGTTTGAATTTTGAAAGCTTTTAATATTTTCAAACAGTAAAATTTCTAATTGGTTTTAAAATATTTTTCATTATTTTTCTAACATTTTACAATGTGTTACTTAAAATTAAACATTTCAATTTAGAACGTAAACAATTAAATTATTAATAATAAAATTAAATATTGAGGTTATATTTTTCAAAATCATGATGAGAATGATTATTATTATTTTTAATTATTACTTTTCTGTTTAAAAACCAAAAAAACGATGTGAAGAAAAAATATGTTTAGGAGTCCGGAATTATGATAATAATTTATTTAAAGAATATAATAATAACTTTCTTACTGAACCATTATGGCTACTCGTAAAATGTTTGATACACATTTCATATAATTCAAGTAATATGTCAATCCTTTTGGGAAAAAAGGATTTCATTTGAAATACAAAAGAAATGTCTTATTCTTTAAAATTTGTTTTATCAGTGAACTTGTAATATTTTTAAATTTCAACGATTCCTTTTACGATAAAACTCATTCTTGTTATCATTAAAGAACTTGATTTAAAAGAAAATTAGTTTTAAGTTTAATGGATAATTTTTCTCAGTGTTAATAAATAAAATTAAGTTGCTGGCAGTAATAAAAGCATGTTGCTTCTAATTCTGCGCTAAGAAATAGGTTAATCTTAAATAATGAAATTAATTATCGTTAAAATGTATCAAGGAAGGTTATGAATAGAGATACACACTACTAAAAAGTGAATGTGAATTATTTTCAAATATTCGCAGTAATTAAGACATCCTCAGCAATATTTCCACTTAATCTACTACTACATTCCTCTTGTTTTGTCAAATTATTGGTCGAATTAGACACTTAGTAACTTTTGTGAGAATAAGTTAATAAGGAACATATACTGAAAAATAAAAATTAGATGGAGATGATTACAACATATATATAAAAATTCAGAAGGAAATAAAAATTTATTTAATTTCAATTTAAAAATCGTAAGTAATAAAAATGTAAATATTGAATTTGGAGATAATTAAAGGCTCGACGCTTTTAGGGCGCATGAAGATGTGAATAAAAAGAGATCGCCAAGTGGAAAGGAAGAGAAGGGTAGAGAGAGATGAAATTAATTTTTTCACATGCAAATTTATTTATTTTCATCGCGAAAGACAACGATTAGGGAAAAATATAAATTATTTTTTCGAGTTAATTTAAAAAAAAAATCGTCAAACAAATGTGATAAGCTTTCAATTGCTATTAATAGAAAAAAAAGAAAAATAAAACAACTAAGAAAAACAGATTGACATGTTAAAAAAAATAGAGAACTAAAATAGAGTAAGTGAGAATAATTACCTGGACAAATTTCCGAACCATGATACCACGTTCTCTTTACACACCATTGCCAGACAACATTGATACCACTTTTGGAGCTGAAAAAAGCGGCAATACAAACAAGTCTACTATGAAATTAACGCGTGACTGTATAAAATCCTGTTGCTTTAGTGAGAATTTGAAAATTCAAGTTTATACTTAATCTTTCTCACACATGAAATTTACCAACCACTGAACACTCGTAATCCGTTCAGCGCCCACACTCGGTAACAATCCAATTGATATTATGCGATTCCTAATACAGAAACGTAATGAATCGAACAGAATACTAGTTCAATCGAAAACCGTAAACCAATTGCTTGTCATGCTATTATCATTCTCATTGCAATACGAAAATAATTTCTATCCGAATCTGAAAAGAACTTAAAAACCAAAGTTCCGAAATATGTCAAGGGTCATTCACACGTTCTGGGCAAAGATGGGTTGTAAAGCATTACTTAAAGCTTTTCATTTAAATTGCGTAATTTTAGTAAATTGCGCCAAAAATTGTAGAATGCTGGATAACTAAAAATGACGTCCCATGTCGACGTAAAAGTATCAACGGAAAGCGTTAAAGGTGCTTATATACCTCAAATTTCGATCAGATGAACATTATTTCTGGACCGTGAAAATGCGTGAAAAGTCATTTTCACGGCGGGTATTTTTGAATTGTTTTAAACAAAAAATGTTTTTTTTAAGAAATATAATATTAAATAATTGTTTTAATATGTAAGAACACTTTAAAATAGTGATAAAAAGATGATTTGATTGAAAAATTTAGCAAATTTTGCTTTAAAACGTTTCTGCTACAAGAAAGTGTAAAATGACGATGTTTGTGAAATGGTTTGTACAGTGTACATGTGTACATGTTTCTTTCAGTTATTCGAAACAATTAGTTGAATTTAAATTTATTTGATAAACATTTCAACTTACCGATTTATTTTCAGCACTCATTATTTATACAAGTTAAAAAGAACCGACATAACATAAACAAAACTCTGAGAGACACTCACAAGGAAGAAGCACTGTACAAACCATTTCACAAACATCGTCATTTTACACTTTCTTGTAGCAGAAAACGTTTTAAAGCAAAATTTGCTAAATTTTTTAATCAAATCATCTCTCTATCACTATTTTAAAGTGTTCTTACATATTAAAACAATTATTTAATATTATATTTCTTAAAAAAACATTTTTTGTATAAAACAATTCAAAAATACCCGCCGTGAAAATGACTTTTCACGCATTTTCACGGTCCAGAAATAATGTTCATCTGATCGAAATTTGAGGTATATAAGCACCTTAACTATGAAAGTGACAGAGACAGTGATATCTTTTTCACTCACATACACGAGGGCAATAAAAGGTGGCGTACTTGTCAAGTAGGTTGTGCAGTAGACTAAAATTGGACTTCTGCGCATATTAATACATTTATCGGTTCACATGTATTTAATATTCTTGGCGCACATGGGATTTCGCCGGCTGATAAATAAAACATATAATTTGACATAAACAATTATTCGAATGATATTTTTGACAATCTTTCAAGTTATCTTCCGACACTGATTGCATTTTTTACAGATTTTAAAATAAAATTTTTTATTAAATAATAATTTTGGAAGAGTTAAAGTTGAAATTTTTGAAATTAATTAAATTTCAAGTCATTTTGAATTAAAATTCCTTTATAATTTTATTTGCTTATTTTTTTAAAATTAAAATTTTAGTTAAAAATTTGTTAAATAATTAAAATAAAGAAGATCTAACAAAGATTTGTATTGTATAATAAAAGACCGTAATTTGTTTAAAAACTTGTATAAAAAATTATTTTAAAAAATCGAATTTTATTAAAATAAGTCTAAAAATCGTATTTTTTAAAAAAATGGAAAAAGTCGTATAATTCGACACCTGCAATTTATATAAAATATCTTGAACTGCAGTTCTAAAATTCGCCAAGAACTGTAATAATAATATTATTCTGATTAATAATATTATTACTTATAACCTCTCTATCATAACATTGCCTTGTGCGATTTGACACATTCTCTTCTGCTATTGGGATCTGAAATACTGCGATACACCATCTGGTGAGAGCCTCGTTGTGGTGGCCATGTTTTCATTCCGTGTTTCTCTAACATATACAAAGAGATAAAAAACCAAGATGGTTGTCACAAGAAGGCTCAGGGGTGGGTCAGTTTCGCGTGATTTCTGATCCCAATATTACGGCTCTATATGTACTTGCGCAGAAAACCATTTTTGGTTACCGCACGAACTACCTATGCAGAGAGAATCTTCCTTCATTGCCCTCACTTTCGACGACATCCCCACCACCTGAGTTACTCCTTCTGTCTCTAGTCTTCTTGGTCCTGTAGACGGAGGAATAGTAAGAAGACCGATCTTGCTGTAGTAGCGCTTCTGAAAATGTCCGAGAAACATGCATGATAAGTGCCAGTTTCACTGCATTCTACTCAACCACCAAAGTAGTTGAGCATGCGCATTAGCCATGTGCTGTATCTTTCTCTCGCAAAAAGTGTGCGAGTGAGATCTGGCTGTCGTATATTTCTCAAGTCTTCCATGCGTGTTGTGATGAAGGGGTTATGTGTTATTATTGTTATTATTTTAATAATTATTATTAATGTTTATTTTATATACTTGCACATGATTTTGGAGATACAATATCGCAATGGTAAATAAAATTTCTGAAATAAACACTGAACACTAAAATTTTTTTTGTGACATATATGTATATCGCATAACAACACTTTTCATCTGTCAAAATTGAGGTCCAATGCGCATACTCAACTACTTTGGCCAGTTGAGTACAATGCAGTGAACCTGGCACTTATCGTACATGTTTTTCTGACATTTTTCAAACGCAGAGATCATCGTTCAATTCAAATTATTTTTTATTAGCTTTGAATATTCCATTTATTTGATTCAAATAACTATTTATTTGATACGATAAAATAAAATACTTAGGTTTAGTAAATGTGTATTTGGTTCAAATACATATTTATTGGATAATAGATAAGTAAATGATGTATTTGGATCAAATACTTTTTATTTGATCCAAATAATTTTTTTTTCAGTGTAATAATTATAAGAATATTATATTATTATAATTATAGTATAATATAAATATAGTTATAGTATAGTATATAATATAAAAATAAGTTATAATATTATTGATTAATAATATATTTCTTAACAATAATAATTCTCAGATTATACAATAATAACACACGGATTGAAAAATTACGCTAAGGTTATTTTTTAATACCAGCATCTGTAAGATTACTACGTCGAACCTGAAGCAAATAATTTTCAACGGAATTTTTTACAGTGTAGTTAAGCCAAGGCCGTTTCCGAATTGGGATTTTTAGCGCACTTTTGATAAAGTGTATAATCGGGAAGTATGCAGTGTTCTCTTTTTCGCATGGAAAAACAAGTACCTTACATACTTCCCAAGTATACACTTTATCAAAAGTGCGCTAAAAATCCCAATTCGGAAACGGCCATGTAGTGTCCTTGTTTTTACGTGCGAAAAAAAGGACACTACATACTCCCCGAGTAAACACTTTATCCAAGAAGACTAGAATAAGGTTGCAGTCCCATGGCAGCGTTTTGCGTTGCGTTTTGTCACTAGACCATGAGTGTAAAAGAGATGCAGATATATGTTTGCTATGTTTACACTCAGGGTCTAGTGACAAAACGCAACGCAAAACGCTGCCATGGGACTGCAGCCTAAGGAGGTCTAACTCAGGTAGTGGGGGTACGTAAAGAATTGGTTTTCGAGGTAGGCCGAAAGGCAGAGTGTGCAGTAGACTTCTGCGCACACCAATACATATACATTTTTGTTGCCTTGTCAAGAATTACTGAAACTTTTATGTATTGGTATGCGCAGAAGTCTACCGCACACTCTGCCTTTCTTGAAAATCCGCCTACTGCAACTACCAATTTCATACGTATACTTACCATACCCCCACTACCTGAGTTAGACCTCCTTATTCTAGTATTCTTGACTTTATCAAAAATACGCTAAAAACCTCAATTCAAAACGGCCCAGCGCATATTTGATAAGTACACACTCGTGGCCAGATATGCCTACACTTTTTTGTCTTTTTCTAACACATATGTTGTCATGGCAATATAATCTTTTCTTCAAATGATTTATAAATTTATAATTAAATTAAAAACAAGAAAACTCTACACAAGAAAGTATTGCACCGCTAACTGTACACGAATAAATTCTCAACAAAATAAAATAAAAATTTATTCTACACAATTAAGTACTACATAGAAAAACTACGTATACAGTTAACGGTGCAGTATTTTCTTGTGTAGAGTTTATTTGTGTTCAATTCGTATCGCCCCACAGTAGATATGTTCATCTCTTTTGTTCTCATGCTTTCCGCTTTTACGCGGAAGTTATGTGAATAAAAGTACCATAAAAAATTGAAAATCATGAATAAATATTTAAAAGTTTTTAAAAGTGACAAAAATATTTTCTTCATCAATAAAAACATATGAAACTATAATTTTTGAAGACAAATAATAGTTTTTATTTGTTCAACTATTGTCATTACAAAGTTTTTAGACACATATTTAGCTTTTTGTTTTCTTTTATTCTAAGTAAAAAATAATTTTATTCATACAATTTTTTAAAAGATTTGTTGGATGTAAACATTTAGAACATTTGACATTTAAACCATTTTTTAAAATATTTTATCATGATTTTCAATTTTTTATGGTACGTTTGCGTAAAATTACAAACTAAATTAAAAATCCCTTCTTTTACGTTTTTTCGGAATTTAATGTAGAGTATTTAAAAAAAAATTTTAATTGGTTAAAGGCGCTTGTGCACCGATCCTGAGTATACTTCCGTCGTGTACCATTAGGCTCTGTCACTTGTGACGTCAGAGTCGATTCTAGGTGTGACGTCAGAGGCCTAGAGGGACAACAAACAGACGACACAATGTTCTTCTTATGGGGAAGAAAATTTGTTTCCACTTTCATCATGTTACGATCGACTATATTCTCGATCGGGTTTTAGAACGATATATCGAATCAGATATCGACGATGTATCGGACAAATAAATTTAAATAATTTAATGTTTAAAATTACTTAATATTAAACGAAATAAAATCTTTTCTAAAAAATGTTCTCACGATTGACTTTCTGAAATATAACACTTCAGAAAATCAGAAAAATACCATGACTAATTCTGTCACGGTTTAATTTGGTCCCACGTCTCAAATTCAATTTCTAAAGTAAACAACTTTCAAGATTTCCACAAAATAAAACAAGTAAATAATGTTAAAGAAATTCATTCTCGAATTTCCCTCTTAAAATCTTAAACCCTTAAAAGCCATAAAAATCTATCGAGATTTTATGATCCTTCTCTCCGCGGGACATTACACATGTGTTGACCAGACGTGGAACCTCGAGTCGCAAAATCGAGAAAGTCACGTTCTGGTATAACAAAGAAATCTTCCTTAACGAAAACGGCTTTGTATTATTTTATAATTATTTATATAAATTCCATATCAGAATATCATCTTCTCTATAGCATCTATATTATATCAACATTGTACGAACGGGTGTTTCATAAATTATAATTCGCATTAAATATATTTTGTAATTAATCATAATATTTTATTATTAATTAATTAATAATAAAATAGCTTATAAATTTATATAGCAAAATAATAATAATATTTTAATTATTATTAATTGGATTAAATACGAATTTATACGTAAATATCAATTGTAGTATGATAACGTATGTCAGATATGTGAATGTTCATGTTTATATGATAACGCATATAAACATGATATCTATTGGGATCTGAAATACTGCGATACGCCATCTGGTGAGAGCCTTGTTGTGGTGGCCATGTTTTCATTCCGTGTTTCTCTAACATATACAAAAGAAAGAGATAAAAAACCAAGATGGTTGTCACAAGAAGGCTCAGGGGTGGGTCAGTTTCGCGTGATTTCTGATCCCAATGGCTGCAGTCCCATGGCAGCGTTTTGCGTTGCGTTTTGTCACTAGACCATGAGTGTAAACATAGCAAACATATATCTGCATCTCTTTTACACTCATGGTCTAGTGACAAAACGCAACGCAAAACGCTGCCATGGGACTGCAGCCTAAAAGTATATCTAGAATTAAAAAGTGCATAGTGCAGTGCGGCTGAATCAGGGTTGCGTACGTAATATACTTGACGTAAATTACATGGTTTTTTACATGTATATTACGTATGTAATTTACGTGCTTAGTTTTTTACGTAATTTACTTTTTCAAAATGGCCGCTTAAATCATATTCAAGTTGTTGATTGTCAGCAACTAAATTTTTTTTGATGAAACACATATAATCTAAAAATGATTGTTAATAATAAAGTTTACATACCTATGGCCTAAAAGACGATCATAACCAGTGTTTTGCACTATTTTGTCGCATAATAAACATTTCGCATTGGTTACTCCTTTTTCATCAGTTTTCAAGCGTGAAAATTTTAAACTTTGCCAAGGAATTGCTTGGCGTTTTCGATTTTGTGGATTCATATCCATATACATATTTTTTAAAAGTTTTAAAATAATTAATTTGTTGCTTTTCTGTGATACTAATATTTGTTTACATATTTTTTATTGATCGCCAGACCGCCGCCATATTTTTTTACATTTATTACAGGTTTTTTACGTATATTACATTTTTTACGTAATATACGTCAAAAACCTCGAGTGACGCGTCACTGTGCAACCCTGGGCTGAATGCATCGCCTCGTAGATGCATCGAACTATAGTTGCGACATGCGCAAAGGACACTTACTAGATCTTAGAGCTGAGTCGGACTTCACAGCGAAGATCTCCGTTCTAGTATAGTCAGTCTTAAGATATTTGTACTCCTGGTTGGATCTATGCTCTTGGATCCAATCCTCTGTATATTGAACTTATCAAATAAATACCAAGGGTTTTATTCTAATTGTCGAACGATAAATAATTAATTATCCTTTTAATTATTAATTTGTCGTTCTCAATTAGAGGATTTTTCCCTCCGTTAAACGGAATTTAATATTCTTATTATTTCAAATTCCCGCTTTCTTTTTGAAGAATTCAACTAAGGTTGAATCCGAGAATTACTTAGTCAAGTAGCGCTTGCGCGAATTAAATATTGGCTTGGCACGTAACAATCAATTTTATTCATATTTTAAACATGGAAAACGCTTGTTGACAAATAATAAAATTAAAATGTGTGTTGATAATTAATTTTGTTATATATTTGATTCAATTGCATTGATAGATTCTCTCAATTCGTGATAAAATATAAATTTTAAGGTTAGGGGTGTTTGTTTACTAACTTGAAATATTTTACTGCTGCGGTAATTCCCACTTAAAATATATATTTTATATCTTTTTTAATAACATGCATACTGGATATTGTTTAATAATGTTGTTAAAATGTAAAATGTGATTAGTAAACAAACACCCATAACCTCAAAATTTATATTTTATCACGAATTGAGAGAATCTATCAATGCAATTGAATCAAATATATAACAAAATTAATTATCAACACACATTTTAATTTTATTATATGTCAACAAGCGTTTTCTATGTTTAAAATATGAATAAAATTGATGAAAGTGGAAAAAATTTTGTTCCCCATAAAGGCCTAAGCAGAATAGATTCTTGAACGGGAACGCAATCGTAAACGGAAACGTAAGAATGTGTAAGAGAAGGATAGCAAATATCTTTATTCTTCTCTCACCCATTCTTACGTTTCCGTTCACGATTGCGTTCCCGTTCAAGAATCTATTCTGCTTAGGCCTTAAGAATAACATTGTGTCGTCTGTTTGTTGTCCCTCCAGGCCTCTGACGTCATATCTTGAACTCGAAATATCTCGATGAACTGACACAGCCTAATTGGAATAAAAAGACACAATTATCTTTTGTCTCTTTTACTCCAATGCTGCACGACGATAGAATACGGTGAGGTATACAAGCGCCTTAGGCTGCAGTCCCATGGCAGCGTTTTGCGTTGCGTTTTGTCACTAGACCATGAGTGTAAAAGAGATGCAGATATATGTTTGCTATGTTTACACTCAGGGTCTAGTGACAAAACGCAACGCAAAACGCTGCCATGGGACTGCAGCCTTAAGAATTGTGAACTGTAGGCGTATTTGTCCGCGGAAATCAATTTCTGGACCATTGTGCGCCCCCTTATTTTTCCTTGTAAAAAAAAGACACTGCATACTTTGCTCAAATGAAATTTTGGAACCTAAGTATATTAGGATTTTATTTCTTATTTTTAAACAACTATTTAATGCATTCATAAAAAATGATTTTATTTTTATTGTAAAAAAATTTTTCTATTGTAAAGCTACAGTTCCATGATGTTTTTGAGTTGCGTTTTGTAACTAGGCCATGAGTGTAAAAGAGATGCAGATATATGTTTGCTATGTTTACATTCCTTGTCTAGTGACAAAACGCAAAACGCTACCATGGGTTTGCAGCCCACGTGCACGTTAAACGTATATATATATATTTTTATTCCTATTGTGGACACAGCCTAAAGCGCAACTGCAGTGCCACGACCTCTATGTCATTTGACCGTAATCAAATTTGCTATAGAGCTTATCTTCTACAACGGGAGTGGCAATACTGTGTAGTATGTTATCTTAATTTTGTGAAATACAGTGGTTAATATTTTAAGACGAATTATTGCAAAATTAATTAGGCAAGGCTAAAATATATCTAAAATATTGTGTTTATTATTAGCTATTCAGCATTAAATAACTGCGTTAATTTATTATTTCTCATTGACGGAACCGTTGTTGCTGAGTGCGATTGACTAACACTACTGTTGACCGTATTTGACAACAAACTCATTATCTTCTAAAAATGGTTGTCAAAATTTATGTATCTGGAATCAGTGGCAATAAAGAAGTAAGTAAACATTGTTTTGTGCAAATTTAATTTAGTAATACATTAGTTCTACAGTCATTGTCAATAAGGTCTAGACTTGAGAATAAAAATAAATTCATTTTCACCTGTGCAAGTATTTATCCTACTATATATGGGACGAATAATAAAAGTAGATTATTTAGTCTCTTATAGCGTGAAAAATGCCGGAAATATTTTACAACTTCAGACATTCAAAAAAATCATGAAATCTATATATTATTTTTTAACCTCTATATATAAATACCAAACCCATATAAGTTTTGGAGCTGAATGTAAATTAACCTAAAAGTTGCGTAAATTTTATTTTATAGGTTATGTTATTTCTGTAATATTCAATAAAATTTCTTTCTCAAGAGGAATCTTTGTTTTTCGAATTTAAAATTCTTTTTAACTTTGTTGAAAGATTTTGCTCTTTTAAAAAAGTGTCATTATTCTCAATTTAAAAATTTTTTTTATAGGAGCAGAAAGAAATCAATTCAAATTTTTTTTTAAATACCGATTTTTAAAAAAGTCATACATTTAAATCAAAGTTTCAATTTTTTAAGGTTAAAAAAATGATAGAAAATTGTTAATAAAAAAGGTAAAATATGTAAGATTTTCTAAAAGCATACAACAAAGAATTTCGATTTATTTCAAAATAAGTGAAAATAAATTTTTCAAGGTCGGTATCGCTATTGGAAATTTGTTAACTTAATATAATAGAAGATGTTTAGGTTTGAAATAAGAAATGATAACATTTTTTAGTTGAAAACAATTGATTTGAATGAATTTAAATTTAAAATTAGGTACAATAGTATAGATTCCTTACCAAAAATTTGCAAAACAAAAATAAATAGCAAAAAACAATTAAAAAAATATTGGATTTTAAAAAAAATTGTTTTTGAGTAACTTTTCAAAAGAACAGTAATTTTATAGGTATATAACCAAAAATATGAAAAAAATTGCAAAATAACTCTTTTTAGGGTTAAAATTTTAAAAACATGTTAAGACGGTAAAAGATGTAAGATTTTCTAAAAGCATGTGACAAAGAATTTTGATTTATTTGAAAATAAGTGAAAATAAATTTTTTTTTAATAAAAATATATATTTGTTCGATTTTGACTTTTTCAGAGTAGGTTAACCGATCGCAATGAAACTTTGGTATTTTGTTATATAAAGTAAGACTAATTTTTGACGTAAATTCTACACTGAAAAAAAACTAATAGGTTTTACTACTTTTTAACTACTCTGTGTAGAACAATAGGTCCTCAATTGAATTTAAATGGTTCTATTGACTATATAAAAATAGTTAAACCAATTAAGAATGTAATTGGTAGAATGACATTTTGTGATTGTATTAATTCAATTTAAAAATGTTAAAACAATTCAAGATGTAAGTAGTAGATTTTACTACTTAAAGAGGTTCAATAGGCTTTAATCTTTATGGGACTGACGAGGTACCCGGGTACCTTATGCATTTTCAAATTGGTTTTTTTTCGTAATTTTTAGATTCGTAACGACCTAAGGTTTTTTGACATCTCAAATTTATCCATATAAAGTGTTTTAATATTATTTATAATGTACCTTTTATATTTATTTATTCGGAAATAATAAACAAAGTTTCTTCACCATTAAAAGGCGGACATTTCATGCAGATAAATGTAGAAATTTCTATTAAAAAATTTTGAAAAATTACAATAAACAATTTTTTTAATTTTTATAGTAATGCACATAATTTTTTTTATAAAATATGTTTGAATAGAATTAATTTGGAGGCGCCTTAAAAACTTATAATCATTTGTTTTCAAAATCACACTTGTTCGCAAAACAGTAAACGAAATAATAAATTTTTAGGATTTCATTTTATCATAATCAATAGTTGACAAATTTTTGGCTTAGCATAACCCTCAATGAAAAAAAAATTTAAATGCGAAACTTATTATTACAGTATTTCTTGTTTCTAATTATTATTATTATTCAGCGTAATATTTATTTCTCTCAACTTACAATGCGCGTAATATTTACTTTTATTAAAAGGCAATAATTATACTTTTTGTTTATCAGTAACGGTATTTACTGTTATTTATTGTAAGTTTAAATACTGAGTGGCAAAATATTTACATTACCGAATTGACAATCGATATAAAATTTATTCAACTCGATTTCTCTTTAACTAAAAATTTATAAAGATGAATTAAAAACTGATAAAAGTTGTATTAAATCTAAATGTAAAATAATGCAATGTTCTTTAAATAAAAAAAACAATTTTCAAAATTTTGATTAAGCCTAATTATAATTTAAAAGAATTTTATATTTTAAAAAATGGCGTTTGTTATAAATGACTGGAATATGAAAATACATTTATCCTTATTTATATTTGACGGAAGTGACGTTTCATAAAAGTTTTATTTAATCGAACTTATAAATGACATAATAATTACTTATAAAAATTGCAAGTTGTCCTAAGAAACTTCCGGAATTCCAGAGATGGGAAGTTACGACGATAAAAAATTTCTGTTAGTTCATTAGGAATTTTTTTATCGTCGTAATTTCCCATCTCTGGAATTCCGGAAGTTTCCTAGGACAACTTGCAATTTTGATAAGTAATTATTATGTCATTTATAGGTTCGATTAAATAAAACTTTTATGAAACGTCACTTCCGTCAAATATAAATAAGGATAAATGTATTTTCATATTTAAGTCATTTATAACAAACGCCATTTTTTAAAATATAAAATTCTTTTAAATTATAATTAGGCTTAATCAAAATTTTGAAAATTGTTTTTTTTTATTTAAAGAACATTGCATCATTTTACATTTAGATTTAATACAACTTTTATCAGTTTTTAATTCATCTTTATAAATTTTTAGTTAAAGAGAAATCGAGTTGAATAAATTTTATATCGATTGTCAATTCGGTAATGTAAATATTTTGCCACTCAGTATTTAAACTTACAATAAATAACAGTAAATACCGTTTCTGATAAACAAAAAGTATAATTATTGCCTTTTAATAAAAGTAAATATTACGCGCATTGTAAGTTGAGAGAAATAAATATTACTTTTCAATGAAAGATCAATGAAATTGTGAATATATAAAAAATACTTAATACGTAATGGACAGTTTTTTAATAATCAACTAATAAAGATAATTTTTTATTAGCAAAAAGAAAATCCTATTTTAAGATGAGTCTTAAAATCAGCGCTAGTAGTTGTAATGGAAATTGCATTGCGTAAATATCCAAATTCAGCAAAGCTGCCTTAAAAAGGTGCATCTTAAGGGGGAAGCCTACTTTATAGAAAGTCAAAAAATATGTAAATTTCAGGAATTTGTTTCTCAAATGCATTGAAATAAATTAATACGAGTTTTTGTGGATGTTTTCTCATATATTTAAACCTTCGAAATATAATTTTTTTATTGAAAAAAAATAAAATTTAATAATAAAATAAACGTCATATATTCGCTGCTGAAATTTTCCCATTGCGTCTAATCTAGGGTCCACAATTCTGATCTAAAATAAAAAATCGTACAAGTGCGAGTTACACTCGCATTAAAACCGAGGGTTCCGTACCGTTAAACCATAAATTTGAGGGGGTTAAAGTGTAAAGGCCTATAGAAAAATTCCAATTTTGCTTAATTTTTCCTGTAATGTGAGCATGAAAACACATAGATAGACACATAGATAAAAAATTATCAGTTTTTCCTTGAAAACGCTATGATAATAAACTCCAATCGTGCTCACTATACTTTTTTTGTAATCTACACGTAAAAATACTTCAAAATGTATAAATTTGAAGCCCTTTAGATAAAATTTTCTTCGTTTTATGAGAAAAATTCATGATTTTTATCGAAAATTATCAGTTTTTATTTGAAAACGCTATGATAATCAACTCCAATCGTTCTCGCTATATTTTTTTTGAAAACTACACGTAAAAATACGTAAAAATGTATAAATTTGAATACCTTAAGATAAAATTTTCTTCCTTTTTTATTCAAAAAATCTATAATTTGTTCTAAAAATATGAGTTTTCCTTAAAAACAATATGAAAATCAACTCCAATTGTGCTCGCTATATTTTTCCTGTAATCTACACGCAAAAATACGCATGTATACCAAATGTGAACTGTCTTGGTCAAATATTGTGTGCGCTAGGGAGAATAATAAAATCTTATATAGGATCTTACATAAATTCATATATTAAAATCCACATAAAATCCTATGTGTCATGTAAGAAACTATAAAGAATCTTATGAAAAATCATATAGGAAATTGAAACATGATTTGAAGTGGGATTCGATGTAAATTTTTATAAACGTATTCTTAAGTAATAAATTATGTAAATTCCAATGTGAATCTGGCGGCGTAAGAGTGGAACTATGATGATCTACATCTATATTGGAATTTCCCATATAATTTCCTATATAATTTCCTACATAATTTCTCATATAATTTCCGACTTGGTATCTTAGATGGACAAATAAAACAGTGAAATCCACACATGACATCCCACATAAATTCCTATATGATTAATTCTTACATGAGATTCCTCAGTCCCATAAAGGTTAAGAACATTTTTTTGGTACAATTAATAAATATTTTGCAATTGAAACTAGTACTTTAAGTAGTAAACATTACTACTGAAAGTGGTTCAATAGGCTTTAAGAACATTTTTTCGTAGAATTAATAAATCTTTTGCAATTAAAACTACTACTTTAAGTAGTAGATTTTACTACTTAAAATAGGAAAATAAAATTTGTTGTTTTTCCATATGTTCAAGGTTTCGATTGTATTTTAAGAAGAATTTTTTCTAAAAACTCAAAATACAATTATTTTTTTCAATAAACCATACTTTAAAAAATATATTAAAATATAACTTCAAAGACATACTTACAGTTTTTGATCACATTAATTGTATTTATAAAATCCCATGTAAAAATTGCTCTAAGAGTTATATTGGAGAAACCCGTAGACATTTATCAGAAAGAATTAATGAACATAAAA